CCACACCCCCCGCCGCGCCCCCCACCGCGCCCCCACCGCGCCCCGACACCCACACCCCATGGAGCCTCAGTTCTTGGACCCCCCCACACCAAAGGGGCTTCGGGGTTGGGCGCACGCAACATCCTATCCTTGTCCTCTTCGGTCGTCAGCTGGATCCGTGCACGTGTTTTGTGGCGCAGGCGCCGTGGCAGCTCCGCGGTCGGGGCGTTCGCCGCCCCCGCGCAGCCGATGGCACAACTGCAACTCGAGGGGGTGCATGGGGCCGGCCGCCCGGGGGGCCTAACGATTGGCCTAGCGGTGCCACCCAGAGGGGGGTCCAAACTCAGGTGCCCACCTTCCAGAACGACGCAGCGGCTCGCCAACCCGGGCTGCCTCCTTCTCACCGGCACAGCAGCGCCGACTCCTCCCCTACCAACCACCCTCTCCTCACTCCCCACCCCCCCATGGAGGAAGAGGAAGAGGAGGAGGCTCACGCGCCGTTCAGACGAGAGGACGACTGGATCAGTCCCACAACGGACTGCGAAGTAGCTGGCGGAAAGTGCACCCGCAGAATGCCGGCGCAACTTCAGAGGCACGGTCGCGGAAGATTGGCGGTGGCGGCCCCTGCCCCTTCGGGCTTTCGACCTATCCCTTCAGGAGCAGAGGGGCCCTCCAACCCCTCCCTCCCCCCTCCCTCCTCCGAAGCCATTCGGCTTACAGCATCATGGACCTCCCAGCTAGTGGCTCAAGCACGCAATTCAACGTGGAACCCTTGCTCCACAGCATCCGTGATACCAATGATGCGCTGCGCTGGTGGCAGAACACTCCCGGTCTGACACTTCGACTCGACTTCCTGGCAGACTGCGGGGCGGCTCCAAAGTTCCTCACTCAGTGGGTAGACGGTGCGCAGCTCGACGCACCAGGGGTTCAACCCAAGCAAGCGAGGAACCATCTGTCGTATCTGGAGCACCAGCCGTGGGCCGAGCAGGAGTTCGACCGCCTTGCAAAACTTGGCAAGGTGTTGTTGTACCCGCCTGGCCAACCTAGGCCGGCGGGTTTGAACGTGAACCCGCGCGCGCTTCTCCTGAAACCGCGGGAGGGCGCCGCGGGCGATCTTCCGGACGAGCAACGGTTTAAGGCGCGCCTCATCGTTGATTTGCGCATGGGGCGGGTCAACGAACATATCCCTGAGATCGGGGTCCGGTGCGGCACCTTGGAGGACGCGATACAACGCCTCACGTCCTCGTCGTGGATGTTCGTATTGGATCTCCAAGACTGTTTTTTCAACTGGAAGGTGGCCGAGGTCGACGCCCTTCTCCTCGGCTTTTACCGCCCTGGCACGCGGCAGTTCGGAAAGTACAAGTTTCTCCCGTTCGGCCTCAAAAGTGCCCCTGGCATCAACGATGCCTCCGTCAAAAAGGTCTTGCGACTACTCAAACAGCACAGGGGAGTCGACCTCTTAGACTTCGTCGACGACTTTTTCGGCGCAGCCACGTCGAGGTCCGAGGCGTGGCGCGACCTGCACGCCGCTCTTGAATTCCTGTTATCTTGCGGCATGCCCGTCAGCACAAAGCCTTCGGGCGTGAAAGTGCCAGCGACCCGCCAGACGTGGATCGGCTGGACTTTCGACGCGGTTAATGCCGTGGTCACAGTTACGCAAGAGAAATGCGACAAACTCGTGCGCGTCTGCCAAGAGGTGCTCGCGGCAGACACGGGCCGTTCCCTGCGTAGTCGCCAACTCGCCTCGGCCGCCGGGATCGCCAGCCATCTTGCGGAGTTATTGTCGCAAGCCCGGCGCAGGCTGCATCCGATCTGGACCGACGCCCGGCGCAGGCTGCATCCGATCTGGACCGACCTGAATTCCGCCGGGGTGTACGCTGCGTGGCAGAATTCCTCCCGCGCGGACCCGCCAGTACGCCTGTCCGACAACGCGCGGCAGGCTCTGGCGTGGTTGACGCGCACTTTCGCCACACCTCCGTGCAGGCGCCTTTTCTGCGAGGGGGGCGCTTTGTCGTCATGGGGGCACAAATCCCACGCGTTTGCGAACTGGCGCGCGCTCGCAGCAGACGACAAGGTGCACGTGATCGAAACAGACGCTTCACGCGACCACGGGTGGAGCTACCACCTGCGCAACTTGGGGGTGGTAGTGTCCGGCACGTGGCCCGGCGATTTTGCAGCGCAGGCGCAATTCTCAGCGGCCGACGCCATCAACTACAAAGAACTGTGGGTGGCAGCCGAATGTTTGCGTCGGGAAGGGGCCCGTTTCCGTGGCTGGAGAATCGTCTTCAGAATGAACAACACTTGTGCCATTCATTACGTGAACATTAGATACGGCCGCCTTCCACACTTAGAACACTTAACTCAGTGCTTCGAAGACGCCGAACGCGCGTCGGGGTGCTGGGCACTCGCTTCACACCTCCCAGGCCGCTCCAACGTAGTGGCTGACAGGGGCTCTCAGGACTCGGGTTTTGCAGCCGCCTGGGCAGAAGATCCTTTCAAAGATGCTGTCCTGCGTAAGGATCTGTATAAGGAAATGCAGAGTAGATGCAACGTCACTTGCACGCTGGACCTCTTTGCCGACAGGCGCGGGCTGTCCGCTCTAGCCGCGCAGTGGCGACGCCCAGAACTGACGGCTTTCGAACGCAACCTCGAGGGTCACGTCGTCTGGGCTCACCCACCACGGGCCCTAGCCCAGGCGTGCCTGGATTTTTTCAAGTCTGCCCGAAAAGCTCGCCCGTCCATTAAGATTTATTGCTTCTGCCAGAGGGCGCAGGAGCTCCGTGGTTCCGCGCGGGCGCGCTGTCTTCCTGGCACCGGGTCCGCTCCTGGGGTCCCCGCTCGGACATCTTCCGGTGGTTCTCTCCAGAGGGTCAGGTGCGGCGCGGGCCCCGCACGGACCTTCGCTATTCGGTTCTGGCCAGTTGGAAACCAGCCAGGAGAAACCGATGATTGCACTGACTTCGCAGTCGCTGAGCGCAGGTTCACAGAACAAATCCTGGCGATGGACCCAACCATATGCAGTTGCGAGTACCGCAAAGCAGGTTGGAGAGGAGACGCGGGGCACCGTCTCTTCAAAACGAGGACCCGACACCACAGGATGGTTGGGAAATAATCACACACGCACGCACGCACACACACACGCGCGCGCACACGCCTCCCACACGGCACGCTGGCTCGCCACTCCCCTGCCTTCCCTCTCCTGCCCCCTCCCCGTCTTGCCACGCCCTCGCATTGGCATCTGGCCCTAACTCGGTGGGGGCCTCTCCAGACGACGACAGTGGGCGGGAAAGTAAGGGGCTGGAGCAGCACGGAGGAGGGGGGACAAGAGAGGGGAGGACAGGCATAGCGGATCTGGGAGGACGCCGCGTCCCACGCCATTCGGCCCGAGCCCCAAGATCAACCGCGCCGGCCAGCTCGCCCACGCACACCTCGGCCCCCCACCTTTTCCAAGGTATGGCTTCCGATGAACAGGTCGAGACACTGATTGCGGAAGCAATCATGGCTGAGACGCAGCCGGGGGGCGCAATCTACAATTCCGTCGTGGAAAGAATTGCAGAGCAGCTCAGCACCGCGTCCCTCCCAGGCGGGACCGTGTACGCAGCCGTCGAAGAGTCAGCCAAACCCGGGGGCGCCGTCCACGCGGCGTTCACCAACGAGTACAACAGGGCGGCTGACGAAGAATACCCATGGCGGGCCGTCTTGCGGAACCTCACGGTTACGCAATGGAAAGCGACGTGGGAGGCGCTCACGGTCGACCCTGACAGTGTCGAGGCAGCCGGGGAGGCCATCGAGAAGTCTGGGAACCCCGCAGCTAGCCTGTGGGGGTCGAGCGCGGCACACCCAAAGAACAAGGAACTCGAGGCTCTAAAGACCCGCGTCGCGATGAAGCGCGCGGTTCGTACGAAATGGAAAGATTTGCGCCTCCCGGAGCGGGGCGGACCCAGCGAGAAGTTCAGGCGCCACCTCGGAGACCGAGCCGAAGCCGGCAGGGACCAGAACGTCCGCGCCCTCAGCCGCTGCGTCTTGGCGCTTTACCATCTCACGGAGAAGAGGTGCACGTCTGTCCTTACCAGCGCCCAGGCCAACGCTGCCAAAGCCGAGGCCCAGCGGGCGACGGTCATGGAGTGGGTCTACTACGCCATCAAGGCTTTCAAAAAAAACGCACTCTCAAACCGAGTGCGGCCCGGGCATTCGACCACGAGATCCTCCTGAAGGACTTCGGCCTCGACTTGGTGTTCGGGGAGGTTGCGCTCCTGAGCGCGGCTGCCGGCCAGAGCCGCGCGAACGACCTGAAGCGACTCGGCGCCGACTCGCCGCAGTCCGCTTTGAAAGCGCGGCGCCTGGGTGACCTGTCGGGCACAACCGCGCCCGCGGGCCACAACCAGAGCGGGGCGGCGGGGTCCGACCCCCGCGCCAGCTCCGGGGCGAGGGCTAACCGCTGGTCCAACGTTCCGGCGGCGGGCCCTCCGGCGGACGCGCCCTTGGCAGCTCCGGGGACGCCGCCAGCCCCTGGTCGCAAGGAGTTGGTGCGACAGATGAAAGCCTGTCGCGCCGGGAAAGTCCGCGCAGTTTTTTCCAGAAGTGGTTCGACGATCGCTTCAAAGAGAAAGGCTTGAAACAGGCCGCCCTCCAGGTCAGCCGAGAGGTGTGCAAGAACTGCCTCTACAGCGGCAGAGGCGCTTTGGAGCGCACTTTTAAAGAGTGCCGCGACACTTTTAAGAACAAGTGCGTCCTCCCGTGCCCGCGGTGTGCAGCCGCGGGCAGGCTGACGGGGAACGTGTACCACTGGGCGCAGGATTGCGAGTTCAGCTGAGCAGCAAGCTCGCTGCGGCAGGGGGGCCGGGAAAGCATGGCGACATCACATACCGCATGTCTTGATAACGCAGCAGTGAATATGGATGGGTTTCCCGGCCCCCGCGCCCCCCGTCTTGGCCGTCTGCCATTGCGCGAGTTTTTCAGCAGATTGCCTCGGCAACCACGCGGCGCAGCCAGCAGCGAACCCGCAGCGACAGCTGGGCCGGGAAACAGAACGCCAGCGCAGAGCATCCATATCCAACACACGAAACATCGTGGGGAAGTTTCCCGGCCCCGCACTCCCCCCCGGCGCCGTCTGCAGTTTAGGACTTTTACAGCAGACCCTCGAAGGCGCCGGGCGCCCCCACCGCTCCGCAGCGCGCGCCGCGACGCTCCCGCCGGGCCACGGAAAAAATGCCCATCCCCCCCTGCCCCATGTGTCCTTCCCTTTCCTTCCGCTCCCTCCCTCGTCCCCCGCCCGTCTGCTCCGCTCAAGCAAGCCCCAACTCGGCGGGGGCATCCTCAGGCGACGGATACGGGGGGGCGGCATTAATAGGGAGGCGGGGCCAGGGGCAGGGGAGACGGGCCACGCAGGAAGCGGGGTCAGGAGTAGGGGAGAGGAGGCAACGCAGACGGCGGGGGAGAGAGGCGTTCGCACGCTAAGAGTCTGGCATTGCAACAGCTCCTCCCAAACATTTGGAGTTTGCGCTGGCGCGCCCGCGTCGCGATTGATGACATCCACGCCAGCCCGCCCGAAAACGACGCGCCCGCGCGAGCACGCTGGGGGCGAGGTCGAGAAACCCGTCGCTACAGCAAACCCGCCAGAGCGCGTCGGCTCAAACCCGGTCGTCATCATGGACCTGCCACTCTCCCCAGCTCAAAAATTCCGGCGGATCGGGCAATCCTTTCTTTACAGAGATGATTTCGTCACAGACGCTGCCGCTGGGGCCGGCCGCGGCGTTCAAGAGGAGAGAATAAAACGACGCGAAGATCGGGGCAAAATCGGATCGGGATAACTCGAAATCTCTGAGAATCGGCGGGTTTGGAGGATGCATTGGGCGCCGCGGCCGTTCCAGAGCGTTCCAGAACGCTCTGAGAGCGCTCCGGAACGCTCTGGATCGATTTATCCCGATCCTAGCCCTGTTTTAGAGAGTGGCAACGGCACCCAGCGCGGCCGCCCGCGCCTCAGAGGAACCGCCTGGCGCGGACGCAAGGCGCCTAGGGGAGCCGGGCTCGTCGGCTTCGCCCCCTTCTGACCCTCTCGGAAGCGCCCAACAAGCCAACGACAACGCCAGTGAGCGGGCCCAAGCAGACGCTGCACAACTTGCAACGCAACCTTCGGGAGGTACCCGGGTCACGGTGGAACGCGCCGGGGCCTCGGGGAGCAATCCTGCTAAGAGTGTCACCGCCCAGCGCACAACGCGCGTCGGGCGCGCGCCCGGCACTCTGGCCGGGCCTCCCAAGTCGGGGCCCGACCGGCCGGGCTGCCGGCATCTGGTTGGCCTCGAAGTGGTTCTGAACATCCCGGCAGTCGCAAACACGACTGCCGACCAACAGGCGTTCCAAGCCAGAGCATTTGCCACAGTGAATTCCTGCATCCGCGCGGCGTGGGAAGAGTCCACGCACGCGCGCTACGATGCTGCACTTCGCTCTGTGGCCAACCGCGCAGAGTCGGCGTCCGGTCTGTCATTGCTGCCCTGTGATTCAGACACAAAGCCGATGTGGCCATTCGCTTCCTTGGACGGCAAACCGCGGGGCACAATCTCCGCGGCCCGCGCAGCAGTGCGAGCATGGCACGAAGAACGGGGCCTTGTAGACCCTTTTGATTCCGCATGGACCGACCGGACCGCGCGTTTTTGGAAAGGTTTCAAAAAAACGAGCAGACCACACTTTGTCACGGGCCAAAGAGCCACTGTCTTTAACACAGCTCCTGCACTACGTGCGGGCGCGCCGCGGTGTCAACTCCCCCGCGGGCGTCCGGGACGCAGCTGATGCGGCATTTTGCTTCTTCGGCGTGCGACGGTCCGCCGAGATGCGTTCTTGGCGGCGGAGGAACTTGCGATCGAGACCACGCACGCCGTAGCACTCATCAGGAAGCAAAAGAAAGATCCACTAGGAGCAGGGATGCGTTGCATCATTCCATGCTCTCCGCACCTCGGAGGCTCTTGCCCCGTGTAACTGTTGCGGGGCTGGGTCGCCGCCCGCGCGAAGTTGTGGCCGGATCACACCAATGGCCCGTTGTTTTCCGTTACGCGCAAGGCAGTGCCATCGGCAATTTCCGCCGACGCAACGCGCAAGCCCTCGTCATCAGTGTTTCCCAGGTGCTCAACGGGCGCCCACTCGCTGCGAAAAGGCGGGGCCCATTGGTGGAAAGCAGATGCCCAGGTCCCCTAACGAAGGGAATTCAAAAAAAAACAAATAAATTCAAAAAAAAGAAAACAAAAAAACAAGTAAAAAAAAAACAGAAAAAGAAAATAATAAAAACCAAAAAAAAAAAAAATAAAAAAAAAAAAAAACAAAGAAAAAAAAGTAAACAAGGGGGGGCAAAAAAAAAAAAAAACAGAGAAAAATATAAAAACACAAAATAGGAAAAAAAAAAAAAAAAGAAAACAAAAAAAAAAAGAAACAAGGCAAACAAAGAAGCTCAAGCTGGGTGGTGGTCGAAAAAAAGCCCCGAGACCATGCGCTCTGCATGCACCCGTTTCAACGAGCAGGAACGTCTCCGAATGTTTGCACAAGCAGCTGCGTCCACCAAACCGGACACCACCCAAACCTTCAAGCCTCCCGGCTGCGCGCCGGCCCTGTCATCCGAGCAGGGCCAGTCGGCACCCGGGCCCATGCCTCAAACCGGACACCACCCAAACCTTCAAGCCTCCCGGCTGCGCGCCGGCCCTGTCATCCGAGCAGGGCCAGTCGGCACCCGGGCCCATGCCTCAATGGAGACGCCTCGCTCACTCATTGTGAGCGCCACTTGCCTCACTGGGGGCTGGCGGGGTCGCAAAGACGGCGCCCCGCCAGCAGGCCTGCAATTCCCCTGGCGCTCCCTTTGCGGCATGGCTTGCCGACCCCAGGAAAACATGCGCCTTCCTTGCATTCCTCCTCTCCTCCCCATTCTGCCTCGTCCTCTACCTTCTCCCTCCGCCTCTGCAAGGGGGCGGCTGGGATGGGCCGCCGGTAGGACAGGCAGGGCGCCCGTTGCCCGAAGGCGTCTTTCTAAGGGGGCTCGCTTTCGGGAAAGGGGCTTCGGGGTTGGGCGCACGCAACATCATACCCGTCCTCCTCGGTCGTCAGCTGGATCCGTACACGTGTTTTGTGGCGCAGGCGCCGTGGCAGCTCCGCGGTCGGGGCGTTCGCCGTCCCCGCGCAGCCGATGGCGCAACTGCAACTCGAGGGGGTACATTCCTTAAACCGGGGGGCCTCAATGGGGGAGTTTTTGACGCCCACCTACCCTGCCCCTCTCCGCCAGTTGCAATCCACCTCCCTCCCTGACATTCTTGGGTTTTTTCTATAGTATTATTATTATACAAAACGGCGGTTCTTGCGCTGTTTTTTTTTCCCCGAGACGCACTGAAAAAAAATGCACTTGCGATGTTTTGTTGTTTTTGTTTGTTTTTAGGCGCGCAAGGCGCTGTACGAGACCTATGTTGCTTCACATCAGCAATTTGGCCCCTGCTGACTTTTTTTCAAAATAATAGATTGGGATGAAACGCTGCCGCTGGATATATCGAGCACAATTGATCACAACACAAACGCTCCTGCGATCCCCGCCAAAATGGCAAGAAATGGTAAGCTCAGATCCGCATGGCTACATTGCAACCGAACCGCTTGACCACCATCTCGACCGAACTGGCGGAATTCGACCACGCGTCCGACAAAATACGTTCGACGAGGGATGCGCTGCACAAAGCCCCGGCCACGGGCAGCGCTACGAGGGAAAGCGGGCCCTTCGATGTGTCACTTTCAGCGCCCGTGAAAGTGACACCTCCCAGGGCCCACTTAAAGAGCAACAGAAAGGCTCCAAGAAGGCCCCGAGAAGGCCCCAGGGCGGCACCAAGAGGGCTCCCAGAGGGACCCAAGAGAGGCCCCAAGAAGGGCCCAAAAGGGCCCTCCGCGGTGTCACTTTCAACGCCCGTGAAAATGACACCTCCCAGGGCCCACTTAGGGCCTTAGAAAAGCTCTAAGAAGGCCCCGAAAGGGCCATAGAGAGCCGCCCTGGGTTCAACTCCGCGTGGCGGAGTTGGAAGCGATAACTTCAATACCCTACTGGAGGCCTCTTAGGGGCCCTAAGACGGCACTGAAGAACCCCATCGGGGCTTTTTCGAAGGCAGAGGAGGGCGCAAAAAGGGGCCTCAGTGAGCCCCTGGTCTAACTCCACCTGGCGGAATTGGAAGCGATATCGCCTGGCGCCTTCATGGAGCCGCTCGGAGCTTCCAAGACGGCTCCATAAGGCCCCAGGAGGGCCCCAAGAGGATCGAACGACGATTCCTGGAAGTGCACCAGTGAGACCCTTGTTGACCTCCGCCTGGCGGAGTTGGAAGCGACAATTTCCAGTGCCCTCTTGGGGCCTCTGGGGGGCCCCTCAGAAAGCTTTGGGGGAGCACAGTGAAGGCCTTCGCAGGGCCGCGTGAGAGCCGTACCAGGGCCGCATGTGTGCGCGGATGGGGGCGACGAGTGCTGACGCTGACGAATATGAGAATGATGGGGGCGATCAAGGCTGGCCCGAAACAAATCCTGGCGCCATTGCAGGCCGCCGATTATCGGCCACGCCGCCAGGACGACGCCAAGCAACAAAACGACACCAACCAACAAACCGACACCAACCAACAAACCAACAAATCGACACCGGCCAACAAAAGGACACCAAGCAACAAAACGACACCAAGCAACAAAACGACACCAACCAACGAAACGACACCAACCAACAAAACGGCACGAATCAACAAAACGGCACTGACCAACCAAACGACAAATCACTTCACGACACCAATGAACAACGCGAAATCCACCGACCGCCAACCA